AGCAAAAACACTGATTTTTGGTCATTTTCAAAGGCCTCCCTACAGGTCCATAGGGGATCTAGGGGGTCGAGGGAGGGTTTATTAAAAAGTTCGATCCTTCCTCTTTCMAATAAGGGGTCGGGAGTGGGGATAGCCCGACCCTGTTTTTCTCCATAAACGATATTTAACCGGCGCGATACTAAATATTCCCCATTATTTTATATTAGCAATTGTGTATTTAATGTTTTTATTTTTTTTTTTTTGTTTTAATTTCTGCAATATAACATACATATGTATATACAAGCACAAAATACGAATGTGAGCCTTCCTCAAACGTGCTTTCATGCAATGACAAATCCAACCAACCCAAAGTAGCCGCGTCATGGCCACGGCGCGATAACTAACCCCGAACAACTTTGTCTGGTCGGTTCGGTTTAATTTTTGTCTCGTTTCAACAAAATCGCGTGATTATGCACGTTTGTTTTGTTATTTTCATTCGTTGGTCTATGCTCATCTGCTCTTCGATTGTTTTTTGGGTTTTGATATCGTTTCCACCAGTTGCTGACGTGAGAAATAGTTTTCTTAACAATAAAGTGACACAGACGAACACAAACATACACGTATAGAAAGTAATTTTAACAACTTTTAACTTGTTAAATCCGTTTACCAAGTTACAAATACATAATAACAATTATTTTTTGTAATACGCCATTGGATATTATATAAAATAATTGTTTTGGGCTCATTAATAGGTTGTTTTTGTTTACATTTGAGGTTTTGTCACTTATGTACAGTCAAGGCTCTTCGGTTTTTATCTTCATTGCATTTTCCAATTGGACGTAAACAAGTTTGTTTACATTTACAAATTACGCCGGTGCATTTGCAAATAACAATAACAACGTAAATTTGACGTAATAAAAATGAATGCAAATACCTAAGGTCCGTGTATTAGACAATGTTGTCTGTCAAAGCAATCACTTGGTTATTTTACATGCAAATAGTTACTGCATGAGCTAATACACATATGTATATCTGTAGTTGATTTCACGCATTCTTGTTGAAAAATCTAGTATAGTATATACATGATTAAAAATATATCTGCTATCGTGTCAGATCATACGATGAAAGTGGCCACTACAAAAGTGGAATAGAGAGAGTGAGATATTTCAATGTGGTTTGCGTAAATATTTATGTATGTAAATATGTACGAAGTTTTAAGGCGCCAATAGCACGGAAATGATTTTGTTGCTGTGGTGTTAAGACCTAATAGTCTTATATGTTTGGGTCTAAAATTTTTTAAAATAAAGTACTATATCTAATATATTTAGTTGTTTATGAACACAACAATACTTTTTTATACTCGCCACTTATTTATTACAAAATAAGTTTCTTTTAAAACAAAAAGTGGGTGTGTTTTTACAAGTACAGTAGAAACAAAAACAACTGCAAACTTTTACGTATAGTATGTATTTTGTTGTCTGCCGAGCCCCTTAAACTTGTTTTTAATTTTGCCAATGTAAACAACCAAACACATACCTATTATTTATTATTCACTTGCTTTTATATAGCGCGATGTCTTTTATGCGCCTACACATACATATGTATACGTCAAACTATCGGGTGATCTTTTGATGAATAATCGCAACGATGTGTTTTAATCAATTACACTCATATAATAACATATGTACATGTACTACAAAATACTACATTTACCGTCTGTTGACATAATATAAATATTTGTAAGTCATTAAATATGTTCACAAATTTTGGAATATATTTAGAGATAGAATTTACATTAATTTAGTAGACCCATTATATTCTGGTTTATTAATTTATTTTTTCATTATTTATATTTATTAATTTGATTACTTAAATAAATTATTTCTGTTCGTCTGTACCGACTATTTATATACTTATTTTTGTAAAAAGCTTAACTATATAGTATATATAGTAAACATTTTTTATTTTTACTTACGTTGTGAGGATTCCAATTCCACCCAAAGTCTTTGGGTAACGTCTCAATGTGTTTGTAAAACCACCCAGTGTAACTTTAGACATTATATTTTCAGCAAAGTTTCTTTATAAAAAAGGTTTGTACTTTCACTAATTTATTTTACAGAAGCAGCTAATTACTTTCTTATGATAGTGCTATTTTGCTTAACCAAACTTCAATGTAATAATGATAAACCAGATATTCACTAGTACGAGCATAAAAATCGCCTGATTTTCAATGCTATATATACATATGTACGTATTTATATCTACTTAGTTCAATTTGTTGTACACTAGTTGGGCGATGACACCTTTGGCGTGGTAGAGGCGCGACGTGCGCAGTAGAGGAATGCTAAACACGTCAACTTCGCTATTTTTCACTTAATTCGTTTCCTCTATTCCTTTTGAATAATGTTTGTAATTGTTTTAAAAATAACAAGTTTAGGGAATCTGAAGTCACCAGCCCGCTATTAGCACACACCTTTGAGACACTTTTTATGCAACAGTTTATAAAAATAGTGCTTTATAAAGTTTACTGATTTACGCTACCACTCGCACCATCGCATACAAGTATCTTCAAGGAAGTTCTAGTTGCTTTTGTATCTCTATTAGATTCGAAACTTCAAAATAGTTTGGATTTCATATATTTTCACTTCCATTTTTATAAAATATTTAGTCCATTTTTATTGTTTTAAAAGTCTTAAGTTGTTGAACTTTTTGATAAATATTTAGTAGTGTTTTTGTGGGGGCGAATTTTTCTTTTCTCACTTAACTTATCACTTCAAATTTCTATTGTTGAATGAATCGCCGTGCGAGACTCGACAGCTAGAAATACTAAATTTTGTTCGGATGACAAGTGTGTTGTTATTGTGGTTGTTGGATTTTTGTTTTCTCGCCTTTTCCCCATGTTTGTTATTACCGTTCAATTTGTTTTCAATTGAACATTCTCTGACGTTTGTAGCGTTTATTTTTGTATGTTTGTTATTATTATTATACTGTAAACAGACAAAAGTAAACAGCAGACAAATTCTTCAACACGTCGGTAGTGGGTGGCTTTATAAGGCAAAAAGAAATTTGTTTCATAAAAAAAAATTATTTTCTTTACTTCAGTAAAGAGAACTGTGATTATGACTTCTTACTGATTGTAAAAATGCTTAATACACATTTTGAGAGATTAGAATATAATTAACATATAACTCCTTTGGCTTGATACCTTTTGGAGATGTATTCCAAATTATGTCTCTTGATCACCCTGTAGTCTGGAATTCTGCTCGATCAGCTGTTGAATACGTCAAATGATTGTGGCGAAAACAGCCATAAAGAGAACTTGTGCTAGCCTACAAAACAAAAATATTTTTTCTTTCTATTTGTACATCCAACAACATTTTTTCACATACCTCATACGAAGACTAAATTGTTTTGCTATGCTCTATTTTTTGGCGGGTATTTATTAGTTCATATAAACATTATCAACATCAACACAAAGGTGGGAGTTCAAGCAAAACTTGGTTGATTACAAAATCGAAATTCTATTTCAAAATAGGGGTTAACAACAACAACAAAGGCTTATTTAGCAATTCGAGTAATACAAGCTAGGCTATTAGTTAGTGACTTAATATGCCAGATTCGATGAGTCATGGCGAGATCTCTTCCAACCCAGCAGCGAAGATTAATATGGCAAGTGTCTCCTTTGGAGGAAGCACTTTTTGTCAGCGTAGAGAGGATATTTTTAAACGACTTCAGCAGAGTGCAGAAAAGTGTAAACTAAAATTTAGTGGAAAAAAAGAATTGGCCACGGAAAAGGATGATAGTGTGGCCGAGTTGTGTGAAGCATTAGAAGACACATTTACGTACGGTCTGAAACAAAAACATTCAGTAGTCACGTTAACAGCGGTCAGTTTGTTTCAAAATATGCATGAGATTGTAACAGGTGAGGAGAATATTTTAAGTCATACTAAATAAATATATTAATGTAAAATTTTTTAAAGGCAATAGCTCTGCCATTAATGATAGTAACGGTGACACTACATTTTGGGATTTTTGTCAAATTCACTTGACTCCACACGAACGCGAACGTTACACACAACTCAATCATGTCTGGACGAAATGTGGTCTGGGCAGGGCATTTATACGTGCTACATTAAACGAAAACTCACTGCAGCGATACTTACTCACATGGCTGGCAGAAGAAGACCTTTTGCACCGTTACTATACGCAATGGTCGCTTTTGTTAGACGGCAATGCCAGCAAAGAATTGCCACAAATTATTGGTTCACTACAAGATGTACTCTTTGCGTTGACCGTTAACTCTACCGAGTTGAATGCACCAACGCGCATTACACCACTTCAACCGAATAAAGAGGAACCCGTTATATATGCACCTACACCAGTTCCTACCTCCTTAGGCAAAAATAAGCGCAGAACACAAGCAGTGGAACGACCCATCTCAACTGCCAATTCCACTGAAGATTTATTAAAGGTAATTCGGGAAGTCACTAAAGTGGCCGCCGAAAAAGAGCGTGTGGATACATTTCAAGCTATGACAGAACTACCAGTGTCAGTTGAGGAAAGTGAGACTACGCCGCCAGATCCCATAGAACCTGAATTAGCATTCCTTAAAGAGCCTTTACCGGACGTTTTTCCACCATTGGCCGCACAAAGTGAGCAGCACTCATTGACAACAGCTAACACCGCCAGCATACAGCATAATTGCAATGATGATAAACAATCCGTAAACGTAGTGAGTGAGCAGGAAGATGAAGATAGGAGTGACACATCATCGCAATATAGCAAGTCATCCTCTGCCAATTGCACCGTTAATCATGCAGCTATGGAGGAAAAATTACGTGAAATGGAGGAACGCTGCACGCTATTAGAGACGCGCGTTGCACAATTGACACGTGATAATCGTCAGCTTGTAAGACGTTTGACACAAAACTTCAATGGGCTAGCCATTGATCCCACCGCCTCCTTGGCTACTAATTTTCTCATAACCATTCCAACGGCCGAGCTGAAAAAGACAAAACATGGCACATCCTACTATGCCTACGAGATACACATAACTATGCGTCAAAATTTGGAACACTGGTCGTTATTGCGTCGCTATCGTGACTTTCACAAACTACACAAATCACTACTTCATACTCATCCGACCGTGTCTTCGGTTGAATTTCCGCCGAAAAAGCATTTTGGCAATATGAACTTGGCCTTTGTAGAGGAACGGCGTCAGCAATTGCAGATTTATTTGTTGAATGTGGTGGAGATTCTACCACAAGTCGAGGCTTGCAAGTCGAAGGCGGAATTGCAAAGAATATTTCCCTTTCTGCGCGAACGGTAACACGTTTGACTGTTGTTTTATACGTTTTTCGTTTAATAGTATTAAATTGTTATACACTTGAAAGTGCTTGTGCGAAGAATTCCTTTATTATTTTTTTTTACCATTGTCAATAGTTTGCTGTTAATTTTTTTTTTCATTTTTTCTGTTCCATGTTCTAAACATATGTACATATAGTATATCTATGATATTTAATAAATTTATAGTGTTATTAAAAAAATCTGAATGTTTTATATTTTCGAAAAAGATTTTGGAATGCTTTTCTAAAGCCTATCTGCAGTGGAAATTGTGAAGAGAGGATAACAATTGTTTAAACTTCTTGCATATACATACATATATAGGCGAGTTATGGACGATGTATATTTTTTTCTCTCGAAGCTATAATATTCTTCACAGATGCATTTCGTGCAACTAAATCTATGATCCCGTGACAGTCGGGTCTATGTAACCGGAACGGACCCGGATTTTGGCTAAGGACTGTCAAGCCGGCAAAATTCCTCCAATTAACTTCAGGAATGTTTTCTACCGCTACAACAACAAAAACTAAATCTGAAAACGTAACCACCAGAAAACACTTTGTTAGTGCTTTCTATAGTAGTAAATCCAAGTCTGTGTCACTCTAAATATTTCCAGCATTGAAAACGACAAATTTGCAATATGCATATGTATTTATAAATACACTTATGTGTATATAAACATAACATTAAACACATAAATCTCACCACATGCAAAATTTCTAAAGTTGCTCCAAATAAAACAGGACGATTTCACTTATACTTATACAAAATAGGTTCTAAACCAATTTATTGCGAAAATATAATTTACAACTATTTTGCAGCAACAATTAAAATGCATGTATTTGTGGTAAAATAAAGAAAAGTATATAAATAAATACAAGATTTTCGAAAATAACTTGCAGTGCAGCAAACCAATTTTTGTTTTAAAAGCAGACGCAAAGTTAATTAACTGAAGAATTTAGTTTTTGAAAAAATGTATACATACTTATATGTATGTAACTAAATTTGTGTATAAATTAAGTGGCGAAAAAAGGTAGGGAAAGTACATGCTTACAGTTTTATGTACATACATATTAACATACATATGTGCCCGTATGATTATTTTATGTATAAAAACAACAAAACAATTATTACTTATGATATAATAATATTAATAAACGTTAGATAAACTACACAGTTCAATATGCATTTGTGTATGTGTATATATATATATATATATATATATATATTGTAAGCACTATGCTATAACTAATTGCTTAACGCTACAAACGAAGAAAACTGCTTTATATTACTTTTCTATAGTATATAGTAGAGTGGTTGGATAGTTGTTGGCGTGCAGTGTTAAAAAAAATTGACAATCAAGCTTGTTTACATACATACGTACATATGTTTATATGTATAGATGCTGCTTGCGAATTTGTGTATTTTCTAGCAAAACACAATTTTTTTATAGCTTCAATAGGTTTTTCTTTTTATTTAATTAAATTATGCACTAAGGGCTACATATATATTTTTGTAGTTGTTCAGTTAGAATTTAACATAGACATTTTGCATGTTACTTAACGGTTTTTCATTGTTTTGAATTTAATAATTTTGCATTGCAGCGTTGTTTGAGCGATGGTCACGAGTGGAAGTGGGCGAAATATAGAGTTTGCGCATGCGTGTGGTTCTACGAAAATTGAGAGAATACAAAGTTAACCCTAATATGGTACAATATGCTATATATTTTTTTACAAAAGATTTATATTTATTTGCCAACGACATATTTTAACAACTTTCTTTCAATTAAATAAAGTTATCTTTTTGTTTGTGTAAAAATGAAACAATTTCCGAAATTGGGAAAAAAACTGTATACAAATATTTTTCACATAAAATTTTGTACCAAATACTTTCTACTTAAGAAGTTTGAAAATATTAAAAATTTGTTAAAAAAAAAGAAAACAATTTTTTTAAATAATCGATTTTTCCAGATATTTTAAGTTAAAATATTATTCTATAT